AAAAAAAAAAAAAAAAAAAAAAAAAAAAAGGTGGAGACCCCAAACCAAACAAATCTTTGACCAAACCCAAACGTGCCAACCATCTATGCAAGTTGTAATGGAAACAAAAGATCTGAGCCGTCCATTAATTTTACTCCATAAAATAAATAGGGTTTGGGGGTCCCTCTTCAAAGTTGAAAGGATAAAGTGGGGTTGGCTTCTGGCTGCTGCTGCTCCTCCGCCTGCTCCTGCTCCTGCTCCTCTAGGGTTTGTTTCTCTCTTCCTTTCTTACCTTTTTCATACTTTTTTTCTTTTCTTCTTAAAATACTTAACAAATGTTTTTACCCAATTTTTTGCTTTGGATTTCTCAATTACTCTATCTAATCATCCACAGTACATACTGAGATCAGATTCATTTTCGTCTGGTCAACCTGTTATTCCCTTCGTCTTCTTCTACATTTTTTCTCCAACGTTTCACTCACTTCTATCCACGAAATTTCTCGATTTCAGGCCTTTTCTTTGTTGGGCGTCGGGGATTTTTTTCTCAATTTTTCTGGGTTTTACTTGGATTTTGATTTGGGTTTCTTCATGGAGGAAGCCAATCAAAACCATCGCCTTGATGAAAAGGAAGGAAGCTCCAATGGAGGCTGTCAAAACCAGGACAGTTGCACTGTAGATTCTTCAAATCTTGCCAAGCCTGAAGGGAATTTATCGGATCCCCACATGGAGCCGCCGTCTACGGCGGTTCCGAAGAAAGAAAAGGAAGGGATTATGGAGCACGGATTGGATATTATGCACCCTTTGAGTCTCTCTCAGATACCGTCGACGGTGGCGAAGCCAGTGAAACGTCCTTCCAAGGACCGCCACACAAAGGTTGAGGGCCGAGGCCGGAGGATTCGGATGCCGGCGGCTTGCGCCGCCCGTATCTTCCAGCTGACCAGAGAACTCGACCATAAGTCTGACGGCGAGACAATCCGGTGGCTACTCGAGCACGCTGAGCCGGCAATTATCGAAGCAACGGGTACCGGCACCGTTCCGGCCATCGCCGTTTCCGTCGGCGGGACGCTTAAAATCCCAACCACATCCCCGGCGAGGCCGAATGGGGAAATTTCTGAAGCACCAAGGAAAAAACGACGAAAAGACTCAAACTCCGAATCAAACGATTGCAACGATCAAGCAACCGTTTCCTCGGGTCTTACGCCGATTGCTCCAATGGCGGCTTACGGTGCCGGCCTTGTTCCTTTCTGGGGAAGCGCCGGCGGGGTTACAGAGCCATTCTTCATGTTTCCGGGAACACCAAACCACCACCAACCGCAGCTGTGGGCAGTGCCGGCAAGACCCATATCTAATTTCGTATCATCAATGAATCCCAGTTTGCAATTTGGGGGTGTGATGCCGTTTCTGGCGAGAGGTGGTGTTTCAAATAGTTCGAGTGGGTTAGAAAGTGGATCTTCCCCGGCGACGGCGAGTGCTCCAGCGACAACCAGTGGTAGCACACAAATGTTGAGAGATTTCTCGTTGGAAATTTACGAGAAGAAGGAGCTGGAATTCATGGGTCGACCAAGCCCCGCAAAGCCTGAAACGCCATGTTCGAAACCTTCAACAAAATAATGACTTTTTTTTTTTTTTTTTTTTTTTTTTTTTTTAACTCCCAGTGTTTGTTATCGTTGTTGTTGCTGTTGTTTGGTGTGTTAGAACTTTAGTTACAAACAGTTTGGGCAAAAGATTGTTTTCCCACTAATAAATGTTGTCAGCACTGTAAAAAGATTAGGATACAACAGCCCATCCTCCTCCTCCTCCTCCTCCGCCTCCCTCCTCCTTTCTCCCATTTTTATGTTACTCTGTTCTCTCTGTTCTCTCTGTTCTCTCTCTGCTCTCTCACAATTTGTTCTTGTTTATATCCAGTTTACTGCCACTGCTAACAATTATCAGACTGAAATCTTTTGCCGTTCTTTTTAATACTCTGAAAAGGAAAACAAGTTTACTTTCATTCATCCATTTAATTTATAGTTCTTGCAGGTTGGCTTTCTTTTCCGTCAAGAAGGTTGCCCTGCCCACGTGCAGGGTGGTGGGTTACGAGAAGATTAGGATGCACGTGTAAGCACGGGCCCCGCAACCTAATAGCTAGGCGAGGCGTGCCGCGTGGGTGGGGGGGGGGCCCACAAAGCTTATGGATTATACAAAAATAAAAGTCAAAAAAAGGGATTGAGGAGTTAGGTCAGGTGGGGTGGGCCACAACATCGGAGCTGGCTGTCATGTGATAGAAGGACACGTGTCCCTTTTTGGACCGACTCATACTTGGGCCCCCAAGTCCTAGTGGTGGTCCCCGCTCTATCCCATCATTTTAAGTTTTTGGTTATTCATATATGTGTTTTAATGGGATAATTAGGTAGATTTTGTCTCACTTCAAACTGAAAATGTGTATGATGGAGTATTTAACAGGGATGCACTGCGTCGGTGTTGGTTGATAGACTGAACGCCAGAGAACAGGCAGAGAAAAAGATGCACCTCCAAACATGTCGCTAAGGTCGTTCCATGTGATCCAGGAAGCCAACGCCATGCTTGAAACTGCATGCCCACACCCTGTTTTGTTTGTTGTGCTGGTATTGTCAAATGCTTCTGAAACCATCAACTTGCCACCTCCAAATTTCAATGTGTCTAACCTCATCCAGAGCTTTGCAAACAGAGGATTACAAGTTAAGGACTTGGTTGAGGCTCACACTCTTTAAGATTCTCACACTCTTCTTCCTTTCAATCAAGAATTCGCAGCGTCAACTCAATTCATCATATTGATCCAACCTTGGAATCTGGGTTGGCCCAAATTCTAAGAAACAAAGGTCCAAAACCGAATTTGGACAGTTCTTGGACCCAGTTGTGGAAAATGAAAGAACTGTTGCCTTATTTTTTACCATAATTCAGGCGTACTACGAACTTTAACGTGGTGAGTTGAATTCCGCGACCCAACGTTGGTCACTTTTCTGGTAAAATAGCCATCCATATCCATATCCATCTTCCACTGCAAGGGAAACTGAAGGATAATTCAGACCCCATCCTCTTCCATGTCTAGAATTATTGGAACTCCTCCGTTGTCAAGCCCACACCTATCTAGTAGATATTGTTCTTTTTGGTCTTCTCTTTCGGGCTTGCCCTCAAAATTTTTAAAACGCATCTACTAGGGTGAAGTTTCCATACCCTTGTAAGGAATGCTTCGTTACCTTCTTCAACCGATGTGAGATCTCACAATTCACCATTTTGGGAGCCAGCGTGATCACTAACACACCACCCGGTGTTTGACTCTGATACCATTTGTAACAGCTCAAGCTAGCTGCGAGCAGATATTATTCTCTTCAGGCTTTCCCATATAGGCATCAACTCAAGGTTTTAAAATGCATCTTTTAGGGAGAGGTTTTCAAGAAATGCTTTGTTCCCTCTCCCACCAATGTAGAATCTCACAATAACCTCTTCCTAGTAGACCCTTTTTTATAACTTTCAGAGGAAACCGGAAAAGAAAAGTCAAAAGAGACAATATCTGCTAGTGGTAGACTTGAATTGTTACAAATGATATCAGAGTCAGATATCAAGCGAGTGAATTGTAATATCTCATATTGGTTGATGGATTCAAGCAAATTTCTTCTGATAGTTTGGCTACAAACCCTTTAAAACTTCTTCCAGAACAATGGATATATATGCCTCTTTGTTAGCGACATTACAGAAAGCCAAAAACTTGAATGCATGAAGAATTAGCATATGAAAAGCTTACACAACAAATCACTACGGTGACGACACAAACGCCCCGCTTTTCGCATACCTTCGGACAAACACTTGCTATCATGGAGTGATGCATTGAGCCCACAAGCATGCAATTTGGACATCCAGTGCCTTCATAATTTCTATGCCCATATTACTCACATGCATGCACTCTTAATCAGGTTAGGGGACAAACCAATCCCTTTTTAATTTAAATCATACCCCTCCCTCATGTCTCCCAGCCTTAATCAACACCCATTTATCCATTAATAAACATTTGCATTCAAACATCAATCATGGCGTTTTGTTCAAGATTTCAAGATCAAACTCTGCATTCCCTCCTAATTCCTTATATCCATCCAAAGGGTTGCTGACAATGGAAGAAGAATATTAATAATGGAGAAATGGAAAACCCTTCTCTCTCTCTCTGTTTCAATAATTGAATAAGGTTAAGGAACAAGGAGGGGCCTCCCTACACTTTCTCTCATACAATTCCCATCTCCAATAGTACCAATTTTGTGGGCTTGTGCATCATTGGAGTGAAGTTTCAATATGGGTTGGGCGTAAATTTGAAAGTGTTCGATAAAGGCACAACATCTCCATGTCTCCAATTTTTTGTAAATCCAAGACTTCCACATAGTTCCGAGAAAATGATAGTAAAAGGGAAGAAGGAAAGTGAGATTTTAGGAGACATAAGGATGTGTGTTTGTCTGGTCTGAATGGTTACTTAGAGGCATAAAAAACAATGGCTTCACTGCAATTCACCATCATCATATGTCCACCACTCAAATAATGTCTCCACCCCTTCTCCCTCTCAACTTTACAAGCTTTTGAATTTCAAATTTTTTGCTCTCTGGGAACCTCAACTTGTATTGTAATGGAATATTATTAATTTTTAACCACAGAATCTGCAAAGTTTTCC